ACAAAAATCCTCTTCACTGGACCAATAAACAACATTCATATAAGTGGAGAAAAGATTAAAGATGTCAAAAACTTTATTTTGCTTGGATCAACCATCAATACTCATGGAAGCAGCCATCAAGACAACAAATGACGTATTGTATTAGGCAATTTGCTGCACAAGACCTCTTTAAAGTGTTCAAGATCAAAGATGTCAGCTTGAGGACTAAGGTACACCTGACCCAAGTATGGTATTTTCAATAGTCTTATATGCATACAGTCCTGGTGTGGCACTGTAGGTTAATGTGCCATACTGCAAAGCCATTTGAATTGCAAAGTTGGCGGTTCAAGCTCACTGGCTGCTCTTTGGAAACCCTATATAGGGTCACTATGGGTCGGAATTGACTCAATAATAACAACAATATGCATATAAAAGCTGGATAGTGAATAAGGAAGATTGTAGAAGAATTGATGCATTTAAGTTTTGGTGTTGATGGAGAATATTAAAAGTACCAAAAGAACTAACAGATCTGTGTTGGAAGAAGTATAACCAGAGTGCTCCTTGGAGGCCAGGGTGGCCAGACTTCATGTCTCACACTTCGGACATATTGTCAGGAGGGACCAGTTTCTAGAGAAGGATATCATGTTTGGTAAATGGAGGGTCGGAGAAAAAGAAGAAGACCCCCAACAAGATGAATTGGCACAGTGGCAACAGCAATGGGCTCAAATATAGCAACGATTGTGAGGTTGGCACAGAATCAGGCAATGTTTCATTCTTTTTGTTCACAGAGTTGCTATGAGTTTGTACCAACTCAATGGCACCTAAGAATAACTATAAGCAGTCAATAAACAACTTTGATTTCTACATGTGATTGACTTGCTTCATCCAGCTTAATGTTTTCAAGGTTTATCCATGTTGTAACATGTATTAGGACTTAATTTTTCTTTATATCGAAGTAATATTCCATTGTATGTATATACCAGATTTTGTTTGTCTGCTCATCTGTTGATAGACATTTCAGATGTTTTCACCTTTTGCCTATTGTAAATACTGCTGCAATGCACATTTCTGTTTACATTTCTGCTTTCAATTCTTTGGGGTATACGTATATTTTCTATTGGAATTGCTGCATCATCAAATTATTTATTTTATAGAGTAAGTTATCCTCATAAAGGATATAGGCCACTTCAAGTGAAGTGGCCTAATATTTAGGATCTTGTTCATTATTTGGATGCAGTGAAACTCCACTTGTGGTCCCATGTGCTGCCTTGCTGTTATATTGACTATTTTGTATCTTTGGTGCAAGATTTCATTATGGGTGCATGTATCTCCCTACCCTTGTTATAATGGAAAAAGTTAATGTAGTAAGACATAATTATAGAATCTACATTTAAGAATAGAGCTGTACTTTAATGGAGTCCTGGTGTGGTGCTATGGGTTCATGCACCAGACTGCAAAGCTGTTTGAACTGCAAGGTCAGTGGTTCAAGCTCACCAGTTGCTCCTTGGAAACCCTATACAGGGTTGCTATGGGTCAGAATAGACTCTTAGCAACAATACTTTAATAAAAGATCATGTAGAAATTATACATAATTCAGAGCACGTTGGAGAATTCAATAACTGTTGTTAAGTGCTGTGGAGTCTGTTCCAACTAACAGTGACCCTGTCTAGGGTTTCTAAGGGGCAGCTGGTGGGTTTGAACTACCTACCTGGCAGTTAGCAGTCCA